CCTAGTGGCTCCGCTAATCCCGGGGCTGGGAGGCATATTACCCTTTTACTGTATAGGATAGAGGCCTGGTGCACAGGTGGGGGCTGGCTGGTTTGCCCTGAAGGGTGTCCTGGATCAGGGTGGGAGTCTCACTTGGGTACCTGGCCAGTCTGGATGAGGCGATGATGGCTGTTTGCAGCTGGTCACACCCCTTCAGGGTGGGGGTTCCCACTGGGGTGCCTGGCCAGCCTGGATGAGGGGATGATGTCTTGCAGCTGGTCATACACCCTTCAGGGTGGGGATCCCCACTGGGGTGCCTGGCCAGTCTGGGTGAGGAGCTGAGGGCCGTGTTCAGGCTGGTGGGCGGCTAAAGCTCCCAACCTCTCCTTTTTTTCTTTTTCTTTTTTTATTCTGGGATTTATTTACCTTCTATGGCTGTCACTGGAACTGAGAGCCGGCTTTAGCTCTGAGGCTTGGCTCTAGCTCTGAGGCCTCGGCTGCTGAAAGCAGGTATCTGGTTTGTTTGGTTTCTATAATTGAATCACTGTTTCAGCTCTAGCTCGGCCAGCCAGTTGACTGAAAGCATGGGGTTTGTTTAGCTTCTATAATTGCAACATTGTTTCTTAGAGTGCAGCTCAGAGCCCAGCAGCCGCAGGCAGGGAACCTTGGCTTCCTCCTTCACTGGAGCAAGCAAGCCTCCTGTTCGCTTCAGCTGCCTGGCTGCCGGCCGCCATCTTGGTTGGCATTTAATTTGCATATCACCCTGATTAGCCTATGGGGAGCGTGTTGGAGGTATGGTTAATTACCATGTTTGTCTTTTATTAGATAGGAGGATTCAGGGAGTTGAAATAATATCATCTGTGATTTACCTTGCAGCTCTAGTATTAAGTAATTCTGGCTTACCTGTCAGATGAGATGGCCTGGATTTTTTTGCTTCAACGTTCAGTTTCATTACAATTGCAGTTTCATATTTGCATTTTGAGAGTCTTGCTTGCCTAGCGGACCAGGCTTAAAATATGAGCCATTCAGATCTTCCCCTTTGCTTCACATTTATTTCAGTTAGATCTTGAATTTATGTTTCTCCCTTTTCCTGCTGTTTCTCTCATTCAGTAAGTCCTTCAGAATCTTTCTCTTGGACTATTGTGTTTGACATTACATCACCTCCCACCCTATGCACTAGAATTTATCTCTTATACATACCAACTAGTTTAATCTCAATGTGTTTTTCCTCTAATTGTGGTAGTTCTCCACTGTCTTCCAAAGAAAGGCCAGACTAATTAACTCAGTATTCAGTATTGGCTATTAGTCTTGGCTCTCATTACTCCCCTCACATAATCTACAGAATAGTTAAACTGAACCTAATATCCTCTTGGTGCCTTTGCTCCTGTTGTTCCTGCACCTGGTTATGCCCTGCCTCTCTCCCATTGTCAAACACATCACAGGCTTTCCATCTCAGTTGTGCCACCCCACTGTCTTCATGAAATCCCTCAGGCTTCCCACAGCCAGAAATAATCCTTTTTTTCTCAACTCCCATAGCACCTTTTCTGTATCTAATAGTGCTAATTACTTTGTTTGGTTGTCTTTTCTTTATTTTTATATTTTTGTACTATCTTACCTCTCTAAACTAAGCTCCCCTGTGCAGGGTGGATGCTCAGTAAATATTTGTTGAATGAATGCCTGAATTATAGTTCAGGTCCCTGTTATTTTTGGTTGGTAGTGTTTCTTATTTTTCTGGATAATCACTAAAAAGAATATAGAAAAGAACCCTGCATAAAGGAACTAATAAGCTAATATATAAAAATAAGAATTATTGCTTTAGATCTGTTAATAATTCCCAAGTTTGTACTTAAGGCAAACAAAGTGTTTTCAAGGTTCAGCCTTGTCTCTTGAGTTTCATTCACCTGGGCTTTCAAGGCACTATAGAATCCTTTTCAGTTGAACTACTATTTCAAAGTAGTTTGTGTTTTGTTTATTTATATCAATTATAGTATGCTTAACAATTTTTTGTCCTGTGACGTTTTTAGAGTGAGTGTTTATAAAATTAGGAATTTTAAAAAATAAAGTAATAAATGGATCAATTAAAATAGTTTACAAAAGAAATATACTGGTTTTATAGTTCAAGCAGACTATCCTCTTTAGTACATACTGCCATGTAACACCTTGCCGAACAGTCACAAGTATATTCGTATTTCTGTGTATGAACATTGCTACCTGTCACGAGTTAACTTGTGTCTTTTTCTCAACCTCTGAGGCAAGTATTTCCAGAGATGTGGCAAGCAATACATCCTAATTCTTTCCATCCATATTATTTTATGGTAAAAGTTTTTAAAAAGATGCATCGTGGCAGAGAAGAATGTCACAGCGAATTATGTGCACTTTGTCTGATTGACCGAGTGACTTTGGTAGTCAGCTGGAAGATAGTAATGAGTCTAACATTAGACCATCAGGAAGGCAAAGGAGAAATGTGATAGTATATGACAGTGAAAGTGTTTCTGAAGAATGGGCAGAAAAAGACATTTTACCAGCCTTGGGGGATTATACAAATATTTCAGGCGTAGCTGTTCAGTTTGAAGATGCACAAAGTATAAGTGAAGTAACCAATTTATTTTTTTACTAGAGGCCTGGTGGACGAAATTCTTGCATGGAGGCAAGGAGGTCCCTCACCCTGGCCTCCACTCTCATGCAATCTGGGACCCCTCTGGGGATGTCCAACTGCTGGTTTAGGCCTGACCCCACAGGGATCCCTGCGGGATGGGGCCTAAACCGGCAGTCGGACTTCCTTCTCACAATCCGATTCCACTGGCTCCTAGCCACTTGCCTGCCTACCTGCCTGCCTGATCACCCCTAACCACTCTGCCTGCCTACCTCATCACCCCTAAACAAGCGGGGCCTGCCTGATCGCCCCTGACCACACTGCCTGCCTGCCTGATCGCCCCTAACCACTCTGCCTTCCTGCCTGATGCCCCTAACTGCTTGCCTGCCTGCCTGATCGCCTCTAACCGCCTCTGCCTCGGCCCCTGCCACTGCAGCTTCATGCGGAAGGACATTCGGAAGGTTGTCCGGCTCTCTGGTCTACTTTAGCATATTACACTTTTATTATTTTAGATGAGGATTTTTTCTATCTTGTTACTTCTCAAACCAATTTACACCATCACTAAATGGAAAAATACCACGAAATCTTTGCTAAAACTTCACCATGGATGAATGTTACTTATAAAGAAGTTTCTTGGTTTAATTATATTGATGGGACTAACAAAGAAGCCAGAATGGAAAGATTACTGGCCAACTGACCCTTTACTTGGATCACACATATTTCCATAAACTATGACTGGAAAAAGATTCAATCAGATACTTATTATATTCTTTCATCTGAACAATAATTCACAAGCAACATGTAACACAGACCATGTTCACAAATTAAGGCCTCTTTTGGATCACTTTATCTCAAAATTTAAATCTTTATATATCAAAACAGTTTTCACTCAATGAAACTGATTCAAGTAGAGGACACATCAAATTGAAGACATATAATCTGGCAAAAAATAATAAAATACGGAATTTTAGTAAGGATACTTTGTGAAAGTTAGAGTGACTATATTTGCAACTTCAAGATATACATGGGTGAAAGTTACAACAGACTGTATTACCTGTCTTACTCCCTTTTCTTGGTTCTTGGCATCATATTTACCAAAACAATTACAACATCGTGTCTACACCTGAACTATTATTGAAGAACAACATACTGGTCTGTGGGACAATAAGGGAGACTGAGTTGCCAAAGCTACTAAACGAAAAGTATCCAGCCACACAAGCGAGTTCTGGCTCGAAATAGCCAGTCAGCAAGGTTTAAGGTCAGAAATTACATCTTACACATACTTTGTGCTTTCAGAACTATTAATAAGATCCTTGAAAGTTTGGTAAATAAATCTGGATAAAGAACTGATTATGAGCTAGTCAAACCATAAGCATAGTGGACCCTGTTTAAAAGAAAACTTTGCATGACTTAGAACATATTTCATCACCTCAGAAAATACTGGTTTATTGGGAGATTGAGAAGAGAAATAGGATCTCCTAATTTTCCCCCCTGTCACTTTTTGACCTTGTAGCTTCGGAGCGCAAAACTAATCTTTGTTTAGAATGCTGTGCCAAAACAGGCTTTGGCGTTGTCTACCTGATCCCCAATGAAAGCAAATGCATCTCACCTAGGATTAGATGATTAATATAGACATTACCTCACTTCTTTTCAGATGATGTAAGATTAATCTCAGTTCTGGTAATCTATCATCAGTCATGTAGGTATAGTGTACTTAAAGTATAAAAAATGCCAACTTATTACCAATGCTTTTTTCAAAATAATAGTGCTTCTTTTAAGCTGTTGCAGATCTGTAAATGAAGAAAAGTTTCTAACTAATTACATATTTGCTCCTTTAGTCTCTTGCCATTAAAAATAGAAAGCAGCCCTGGATGGTTTGGCTCAGTGGATAGAGCATCGGCCTGCAGACTAAAAGGTCCCAGGTTTGATTGTGGTCAAGGGCACATGCCCAAGTTGCAGGCTCGATCCCCAGTAGGGGGCGTGCAGGAGGCAGCCAGTCAATGATTCTCTCTCATCATTGGTGTTTCTGTCTCTCCTTCTTCCTTCCTCTCTGAAATCAATAAAAATATATTTTAAAAAATAGAAAGCAGTACAGCATATTTATGTAAGTTAAATTCTTTGATAATTATTGATTTATAAAAAGTGGTATATGTGTACGTATTTCTTTTAGTGTGCTGATAAAAGGAATGGAGCTTGGGAAGGAGCAAGGTGAGAAATAAACCCCATGGAAAAACAGGAAGTTGAACTCAAGTTGCTCCTCTTGCAGTAATTGTGGGGAAGATGGTCAGAGTTGATCCATGACTAGCATTTCTGCTACACTGACCATTATGATGCTTGGGAGAGGCATCAGGGGGTGGGGAGGCAAGGCATATGGATTTTAAGAAATCTCTGTGTTTGATCTCTCAACTCTCTCTCTCTTCCTTCTCAGGAGTTAGAAGCAGCTCTTCACAGAGATGATGCAGAGTTTATTAGTGACCTGATCGCCTGCTTGCTTCAGGGCTGCTATCAACGAAGGGATATCACGTGAGTAATTCTGATCTTACTAAATTTTTTGAAGAGAGAACCAACCAATCAACCAGTCATCAAAATGTTTCATGTCAACTAACAAACCAGTACTGATCATTTGCCAAAACGACATACAGTGTAAACTGAGTATTTACAAATGGATTCCCAAGTCTTGTGTTTGGTTCTTTCTGCAGTTGACTTTTTAAAATGTTCTAATTGATTTTAGAGAGAGAAGAAGGGAGAGGCGGGGAGAGAGAGGTAAAGAGATAGAGAAACATCAAGATGAGAAAAACATCGATCGGTTGCCTTCTGTATTCTTCCTGACCAGGAATTGAACCACTGACCTCTTGGTTCCTGGGTTTACACTCAACTGCTGAGCCACACCAGCAAGACAACGTTTCTTTTACATCAGTGTTAATCTCTCTCTAAAATCAATAAAAACTTTTTTTTTTTTAGTTGTTTTTGCTGAGCTGGTGTGGCCCAGTGATTGAGTGTCAACACATGCACCCAGAGGTCACGGGTTTGATTCCCAGTCAAGGCACATGCCTGGGTTGTGGGGGCTTGATTCCCAGTAGGAGATATGCAGGAGGCAGCCAATCGATGTTTCTCTCTCTTCGATGTTTCTGTCTCTCTCTGTCCCTTCCTCTGTAAAAATCAATGAAAATATTTTGTTTTTTGTTTTTCTTCTTGAATTTCAGATGTTTTAAAGAAAGGGATATATATATATATATATATATAAAAGGCTAAGTGTCCATCTTTCCAACTGTTAGCTATGTTGCACACTGACCACCAGGGGGCAGACGCTCAACGCAGGAGCTGCCATGACGCGCACTGGCCATTTAAAAATAAATAAAGGCAACACGGACCTGGTGCCGACAAACCAACACTAGGCTTCCCTCAAGTGGAACACAGGCCCTGCCACCACCCTGGAGCAACACCCCACCAAATTGCAGCTAACGCTGCCAAGACCCCATGGCACAAAATGTGGCCCACAGCCCAGCCCAGAAGTGGTGGCTGTGGGTGCTGGGTAATGATGTCACATAGCAACGCCCGGCTTCCTCTCCCTAGCGACCAGCCTCCTTGGAGTTTCTTCAGCCCAGGAACCCAACTTGCATTATAGCCAGGTGCAAACATTTTACAGTTTAACCAAATGTCTGTGAAGCATTTTCCCATGCCTTATCTCATTTGATCCTCACGGAAGTCCTGGAGTAGGTAGATAGGAGACTAAGTAGACTCCTATTTTCTTTTCATTAGCCAGAAAACAGAGATTTCGAAAATTTAGAAACTTGACCCAACTGAAAAGAAGTAAGAAATGGTGGAACTTGAAAATGACTTCAGGTTTTCTCACTGCTCAGAATATAGTCAAACACTGCTGCAGTTAAATATTTTACCCTTTGTTCTCCTGCGTGATCTACAATAATAATCTGTTTCATGTTGATATTCACTGCTGTGTTGCTGACAGTTACCTGAAAGAGAAGTTGGGGTCCTTCACTGGGCTGGAAAAAGTTTAGTTAAATCAGAAAGCAGGTCTAATTAAGCAAGTTTATTCTATATCTATAAAAGGTTGAGTTGACTGGCGCATGCACGATACATATAAAGCTAACGCTGGTGCTAGTTGCATGCATGTGTTTCCATCTGTCATTGTCGATTCTGAATTTGATTGCCACTTCCATTATAGAGAAAGGGCTAATAGCAATATTAAAATATTTCTTCTAATTAACTTTCTTTCATTGTGCACCAATCTGTGCACCAGGACACTAGTAGATTTTTATACAAGGAGAATGATCGCATTTTGGCTAAGATCAAGTGTATGTACAAGGAAAATGAATTGTCTTAAATTATAAACTGTCAAGTATCTCGTGGTAAGGTGGTATGGAGATGCCAAGAAAACTGTTAGCAAAAGTGATACAATTGAAACTGAGTAGGATAAAGGTGCTATTGGAAAGGAATATCAAACATGCAGTTGTTTGGGATAGGTAGAGGCTTTCAGGCAGATTGTAGGCACAAAGAACAACACTGTACATTTACAGTGTTTGTTGGGTTAGTATGTTTGTGCTTCCATCGCCTCGCACTGGAATATGAAAGTTCTCCTTGGCCTGGCCCAGCCTGTCTCCTGCCACTTTCTCCACTGAAGCTATCATTCTGGTGAAATGATCTCTATGTCATAGATTCCTCATTTTATTTTACTCTAGGAAAAACATGCCTTGTTGTTTGAGGTGCTTGGTGTGCATTAGGAATTCTAGAAAGTATGTGGTAGATAAAGGAATTTATTACCAAAGAGATATTGTCATCTTCTTACTGCTCGATACCAAAAAAATACCCCCTTTTATTTTCAAATTCATCATTGCCACACTATCAGCTTTTTACCACCAGTTTGAACTGCACTTTGTCCAGCTAGGGCTGACATATAATTCTTGTAAGACATCTTTGCTTAGTGAGAAAAAAAATTTTAAATCATTAAGTGACATTATAACCAGATTCATTAATTGGAGTGTACAATAACCATGTGACAAACACTTTAACACTTTATTAGGTACTTATCAAAATACAGAGAATTTCCAATCAAACTCTAACTGAAAAAAATTTTAGATTGCCATCAAGCTGCCTTAAATGTTTCCTATAGTTTTTCTAAGCCATTTTCAGAATTTAGAATATAGTATTTTATAATATGCCCTAAAATTTATGTATAACAGAATATAAAATTATAGTTGCATATTGGAGTAAATACTTGTATTCTAGAGAGGTATTATTCATCTTTGCATTTTAACCTGAAATATAATTAATTAGGCTAGGCAGACATTGAGTTTCCTTTTTGTTTGTCATCTAAGTCGTAGACCTAATTTTGAAGTGGCATCCAAACTCTGTGTTCTCTTTATCTGTACAAGCAAAGATAAGACTGTTGGCCTCAGTTTCACAATCCATACCATTGATTAGTAAACTTTTACCTATTTTACCAGAATGTGCTGTCAGTGGTCTAAAATAAAACTATCTACTCTGTGAGAAACTCTTAACATATTTATTTTCTTTGGAATTTGTCAATAGAAAGTCCAGATAGATAGTATAATAACATGAGGCTTCAGAAAGGGACTTTTAGACCCTTCCTGTTATTGCCTCTTCATTTTCTGCTTTCTATTTAAGATTTGTCAGCTGTCAAACCACCAGCTCTCTTTCCCCTGCCCTACCTACTCTCTGTATTTTATATTAATGTATTTTTGTATCGGGGCCATCTGTCTAGGCCTCAGACATTCCACAGCTACCTAGAGGACATCATTAACTACCGCTGGGAACTGGAGGAAGGGAAACCCAACCCGCTGAGAGAAGCCAGTTTCCAAGACCTGCCTCTTCGTACGCGTGTGGAGATCCTACACCGCCTCTGTGATTACCGGCTAGATGCAGATGATGTCTTCGATCTTCTCAAGGTGCTTAACTGGCAAGCCCTTGCCCTAGAGCAGCAGTTTTCAACCTTTTCATCTCATGGCACACTAAAATTTCTCAGCACACCAAAAAATATATTTTTGTCTGATCTGACCAAAAAATAGGTATGATTTTGATAAATTCACATAGAATGGGTATTGTTAGCTGTTGTCTTTTTTTTTTTTTTAAATGATCTAAGGCAGTGGTCAGCAAACTGCGGCTCACGAGCCACATGTGGCTCTTTGGCCCCTTGAGTGTGGCCACGAAGTTTCAATTGCACTGTATGTGCGTGCCTGCACGTGGTATTTTGTGGAAGAGCCACACTCAAGGGGCCGCAGTTCGCCGACCACTGATCTAAGGGAAGAGAGGTCATTGCCCCTATCTAAATAGTCAGGTATTTCATGTTTTAAAATTCTTGCAACACCAGTTGAAAATCGCTGCTTTAGAGGAAGAAAAACACAAACATGTTTCCTAAAGTCTGAAATTTGATTTAACATAATTAAAATATTTATTGAAAGTGGAAGACTTTAACATGTTTATGCAAGTGAAGTTTGTCCCTACATGTTTATACACATTATAAAAAAAGTGCTAGAGAAGGAAGGTATAGTTCTTCGCTCCCCCTTATTCTATTGTTATCTATTTAGAAGTCTGTCTCAGAGTGGGAGGGTGTAGGCCAGGGGTGGGCAAACTTTTTGACTCGAGGGCCACAATGGGTTCTTAAACTGGACCGGAGGGCTGGAACAAAAGCATGGATGGAGTGTTTGTGTGAACTAATATAAATTCAAAGTAAACATCATTACATAAAAGGGTACGGTCTTTTTTTTTTTTTTTTAGTTTTATTCATTTCAGACGGGCCGGATCCAGCCTGCGGGCCGTAGTTTGCCCACGGCTGGTGTAGGCTATTGCTTTTCATTCACAGGAAGGACAATTTCTAATCCTGTTCAGTTAGAAATGATCAAATATATTGATGACTTCTCAGTTCAGCCCTACTCATGTACATGATATAAAAATCATTGTGCAATTTAGCACAGTCTACTGAAAACTCAAGGACTTTAATAGCAATGACCCTGGGGTAAAGTGGGTACTGTAGTTTATGATAGATCTACAATAGAGGATCATGTGAGACAGCTTTCATACAGCAGATTCTGCTCTGTTGTAATTGTCTTTTCTTTTATGGATGCACACATAAAATAACTCAAGCCAAATATATAATGCTAGAGGCCCAATGCACGAAATTCTTGCTAAAGTGGGCCTTCCTTCCCCCAGTTGCCGGGACCTGGGCCTCCCTCGCAGAAGGAGGCCCTGCCCACCCACCGCAGCCTGCCCATCAGTGGCCTGGGCCTCCCTCTACAGCAGTGGCTCTTAACCTTCCTAATGCCGCGACCCTTTAATACAGTTCCTCATGTTGTGGTGACCCCCAACCATAAAATTATTTTCGTTGCTACTTCATAACTGTAATTTTGCTACTGTTATGCATCGTAATGTAAATATCTGATATGCAGGATGTATTTTCATTGTTACAAATTGAACATAATTAAAGCATAGTGATTAATCACAAAAACAATATGTAATTATATATGTGTTTTCCGATGGTCTTAGGCGACCCCTGTGAAAGGGTCATTCGATCCCCAAAGGGGTCGTGACCCACGGGTTGAGAACAGCTGCTCTACAGGGTGATCATGGGGTGATGGCTGGGCCCCCCAACAATTGCATCACACCCACCTTGACTGGCCTGGCACCAGTGAGTGTCATAGTGTGGTCCTGGATGGTCATTCCGCTGTTCAACTGTTTGGTCAATTTGCATATTACGCTTTTATTATATAAGACTAGAGGCCTGGTGCATGAAATTCGTGCACGGGGAGGGTGAGGGTGGGAGGGGGGTTCCTCAGCCTGACCTGCATCCTCTCCAATCCAGGAGCCCTCAGGGGATGTCCTACTGATGGCTTAGGCCTGCTCCCCATGGTTCTCTGCTCTCTGCGGGGCCTGCCTGCTCCACACCATGGAGATGGGCAAAGCAGGCTCTACTGGGCACTGCGTACAGGCAGTGCTTCCCTGCTCCGGGTTGCCACAGCAATGCCTTCTGAGCTCACATTGCTGGGGTGACGCTGCCAGCATCCTGACCCGGCTGCTATGGGCACCGCCATCTTTGTCACGGAGTGGCAGTTAATTTGCATATTACTCTTTCATTAGATAGGGTGTTCATCAAAATTCCTTTTGATTTCTTTTTTTGTAGATGAAATGGGAGCAGTGTATTTCATATGCCCTGATTGAATATTACTTAGGTACTTGGGCATGTTTAAATATAAGGTATATCTGAGTATAGATTTGGAATCCTTATTAAGTTTTCTCCTCTTTGTTCCCCATATCCCCAAACCTCTTTTTCCTGTTCTTGAACTTAGGGTCTAGATGCAGACAGTCTCCGCGTGGAGCCATTAGGTGAAGATAATTCTGGGGCACTATATTGGTATTTCTATGGAACTCGAATGTACAAGGAGGACCCAATACAAGGAAAATCCAACAGAGAACTCTCTTTGAGCAGGTACATTGTTTAAGATCAGAGCTTTGATAGCTAGTGTACAGAAATGTCATTAAAACTAAATGCATCAGCAGCACTATTTTTTTTTTTCTTATTAAGGAATTAATTATGACAGCACACCTGCAAAGAGATAGAAAGGGAGTTGTTTCATACAGAAATAAAAAGGAATTGAACTGTAGCCACTAATAGCAAGTGGTGAAAGGTTCTGTTTTGCTGTGAGGTTTCTGAGGAGCACCACTTCCCTTATCAGCGACTGTTCTATACAGCAGGTTCTTAGCAGTACAGTCATTTCACTGCCATTGTTTTCCTCTTTTGTACTCAATGTCTGAACCATAGCCTTACTAACTACTCTTAATGAGGAAGAATCCTTTCCATAGCATCCTGTAATGATGCTACCATCTTTTCTTATTGCTGGGAGCAGTGCTCACTATTAGGAAAGTGTTAGGTCTTACTCAGATTTTAATATTGTAAAATGTCAGTTTTCCTTGATTCAGCATTCTAATGGAAGATTGGAAGTCACCCTGCCCTTTCCCTATGATGGCTGTATTTAACACGTTAAGCGCCCAGTCAGTCACCAGTGACTGACACTATACTTTCCATCTGGAAGACAAAACAGGCTGGGCGCATAACGTGTTAATCTATTTCAGTAGCCTCATGTCTAGGAAAGCTGTAGTTACAATACATCAGTACTATGACAAAACATTTCTATTTAATATGCTGTCAGTACTATGGTAAAACATTTCTATTTAATATACTGTTTCTTAGGGAAAGTGAAGGACAAAAAAATAGCTCAGGCATTCTTGGGAAAACAGGAAGAAGAAGAGGAAGACCCCCCAAACGGAAGAAACTACAGGAGGAGATTATAGTGAGGTAAGACAATCTTGTTAGTCGTTGACGGTTTTAGATCCTCTTGCTGAAAGGAACCTATTTTCACTTGTTCCTCATGCCATGAAAAGGACATGGGACCTAAATTATGGAGACCTGGATCAGAATCCTCATAGAATTATAAGTGTGTACTAGGAAATCAGAAACCCTAGCTGCATGACCTCTAGCAGGTTACCTATTTTCTAGGTAAACTGTTTTATTGGACAGTGGACTTACTAATAGGAATGATGATTAACTTGAAGTAGACAATGAATGTGACAGTGTAGCAGATTGAAAAACTATGCTCATCAGTATGTATTAACTTCTAAAAAAATTTTTATGTCACACATTTTTATAGGAACATGGAGCAAATTAATTCTGTGATTGTGTTAATAATCAGCATTTTACTAGACATATTTTATATAAGTTTAGGGTTAGTTCTTTCCCATTAGGGAGATTTTAGTAGCAAACCTGCTTTGTTTTGTTTAGAATTCAATTTCCTAAAATAAAGGCAAGTTATTAAACATGTTTTAAAGTATTTTATATTTAATTTTAGCAAAGAAAAAGAGATTCTGTTACATTTGGGAATTTTTAGAGGCCTGGTGCATGAAATTTGTGCGGGGGAGGGTGGTCCCTTCAGCCCAGCCTTGCACCCTCTCCAATCCAGGACCCCTTGGGGGATGTCTGCAGGGATTGGACCTAAACTGGCAGTCAGACATCCCTCTCAAAATCCTGGACCGCTGGCTCCTAACTGCCCCCCCTGCCAGCCTGATTACCCCTAACCGCCTCTGCCTGCTGGCCTGATCTCCCCTAACTGTACCCTCTGCCGGCTTGGTCGTCCCACACAGCCTGCTGTTCAGTCATTTGGTTGTTCCTCACTACCCCGCCTGCTGGCCTGGTCGCCCCACTCAGCTGCTGTTTGGTTGTCCATCTGGTTGTTTTGGTCATGACAGCCCCTGGCTTTTTATATATTAGGATGTCATTATCTTTTAGGAAATTGCAGCATGTGAATCTTAGTGAAGGGTTTTCAGAATCTGACCTATACTATGTAAATATACTTAAGGATCATATCTGTTATTATACACCTGTGGAAGTTAGGTTGTATTCTTAAAAACGAATGACACGTCAATCTGCTCAGTCCCTCTAAATTTTAGCATTGATAAATAATCTAAATGCTTGAAGTAAGCCAGATTTTTTACTGTTATTTATTAACAACTAAAAAGTATTTCTAGGAATCAGATTATGAATAAATCTATCAGAATTTGATTTTATTTTACATTTAAGAATCAGTATTCTGCTTAACTTTCAGAAATTAGACCAGACCACAGATTGCAGCTTTCCTTCCACAGTGTTTCTGAGAAATGTCCTATAATTATGTTCTGTACACACAACATCTGTTTCTGGATTTTGTTAGCAATCTATACCTCCTTAAGTATTCAAAAAGCTGCTTCATATCTATCTCCATTTCTCTATAAGTGAAATTAAAGTACCTTAGTGTTAGGAATACAGTAAACCCTCAATTTTGCACACCTCAATTTAATGGACTTTGGATTTAATGGACAAAATTTCCAGTCCGTATGTCATATGTGAAAATTAACACCTTGTTAATTTTAAAATTCTTTTAACCAAGACTTGCTACAGGTTATTTTTGTTGTTATTAATTCACTAGGTTTTTTGTGTGTGCTTTTTTTAACTGATTTCACAGAAGAAGGGAGAGAGGGAGAAAGAGATAGAAACTTAGATGAGAGAGAATCATCAATTGGCTGCCTCCTACATGCCCTCCACTGGGAATACAGCCCACAATTTGGGCATGTGCCCTGGCTTGGAATTGGACTGTGACCTCCTGTTTCATATGTTGATGCTTAACCACTGAGCCAGGGCTTCACTGTTATTTTTAACAGATTTTTGCGAACAGGCCATATTTTGAAAAAAAAACACTTTAGTAATTTTGCCAACATAATAAATATTACATATCTACAAGTATAGTCTACATTTAAATCCAAGAGTCACCTCTTATAAACAATGTTCAGCAAATGAATAGCACATGGTCACACCACATCTCGCAGGTAATTGGTTCTGTTGTCACTTGGTGTGACTTTCTGCAGCAGTTTCTACTTGTACCATGGATGTTCCCACATGCACTAAGCCACGCCCCAGCCACGTGCATTTGTTTACTCGCAGTGACTGGTGAATACAGCATTTATCGGATTGCTTCAGTATAAATTTAAAATTACAGTTATACATATAGAAAACTGAAATTAAACTTTCCATACATAGTTAATTTTAATTATACAAATGTGTCTACATTAGTTAAAACAGGTAAACTAAACTAATTTGTCAATTTTTAACATACACATTCAGAAAACCTACTTTATTATATAACGAACTTTCGGCTTTAATGGACAGTCCTCACCCAAATTAGTCCATTATATTGAGGTTTTACTGTTTAGAATCTTTTATCAAGCATACATAGACTTGTGCCTCTAACAGTGATTTTATTCTTGATAGCTCTATATTTAAATATTTTTATATTAAATAAAATTTAAAATTCAGTTCCTCAGTCACATCAGCCACAGCACATTTAAGTGCTCTGTGGCCACATGTGGCTCATGGCTACCAAATTGACAGAAACAATATAGCACATTTTTATTCGCACAGAAAGTTCTGTGGAACAATATGTCTAGTATGACTCAGGGTACAAATAATTATGATCCTTAACACTCATGCTGAACATTTTCGCATTTTAGAATTTAATGCCCATCATCCCTGTAAGGTCAGCATATTAACAACTTCATTTTATAGAAACATTAATTAATTTTCACGAGGTCATGGTTAGTGCCAAGTCTTATTCTTAACCTATGTCCTTAACCTCTACCTTATATGAGGCTAAATTTAAATATAGGATTGGCAAAAGGAGGTTTACAGTTGTTAATACGTGAAACAGTTAATTCTTGTATTATTATTTATTTATTATTTATTTGTATTACAACTGCAAACCTATTTTTGCCCACCCTTGTATGCCGTATCTTCAGTGTAGCTTTGAGTTAAGGGAGTACAACATTGGAATCTTTATACTTCTTTTTTTCTTGGTATTTAACTGTTAGCACTTTATAGTTCTTTTTTCCCCTCTTGGTATTTAACTGTTAACACTCCTCTATTTGATATTTTTTGATGTTTTAGAAGTTAATATTTTCCTCTGATTGATGTTACCATAACAATGAGTCCCTATGTCAGTTTTTTCTCTCTATTCCAATACATCTACATCCTAGTATTCATTTTTTCAGTAGTCATTTCTTATAACCTTACCCTCTTGATACACACACACACACACACACACACACACACACACACACACACACACTCATATTTAGTTGGGTCTACCTGATAGGGGAAATAACAGTTTTGAACATGTCTGTGTTTAATTGTTAATCTCTTTTTCAGTGAGAAGCAGGACAAAAATTCCATGGCATCTGAGCCACAGACAAGAAATGGTAATGACCTCTGCTGGAGTTTTTGGAAAAGATTAAGTCAATGCAATTGATTTGTATTGTGATGGGGATTCTCATTTTCCAGAGTCATACACTGCAGTTATGATTATTGCAGTACCATCTAACTAGCCTTGCTGCCCTTCAGTTCTCTCTTCCTTGTACTTTATTCTGTGCCCGTCTCTCCTGAAGGATAACTTTATATCAGGAGTAGTTCTTTTCACTTTTGCCCTGTTACCTGGCCTCAGTGTAATATCTATTCAAACATTTAGGTGAATGAGCAACTTCTGAAAGAGCAAGCAATCTTTTTAATGTAAAATGCTTTACTACATAAAAGAGTATACTGGTTTCCTATTGAGATTTCAGTTTTGTAATCCAAATCGCATAATTTGGAGGAGAATATAAATTTAATAATAGTATCTTAATGTCTGTGAAATGGGGAAGATGCTGCAAAAGGTCAAATCAAAACTATTTGCATAGGAAAAAATAAACACTTAAGCATTTCTGCTGTATTCACATCTACCCTATAAAGGTCACAAAAGTTATATTTATATTGCTTTTGGTCAGTATTCACTGTTAGCTGTAAACAGTGATAGTAACAGGAAAATCAAAAGTATACATTATCAGTCTTCAAATTAAAAAGGAATAGGTCTTTTATTCTGATTTCCTGGTTTTGCTCATGAGCCAGAGTAAAAAAAATTGAGAATAAATAGGAAAAGAGGATTTATTTAATGAACCCATCCCTTTTTTTTTTCCGGGTCCTAAGGGCCAGGTCAAGGCACTTGGTGGCTCCTGTGCCAAACAGAAGAAGAATGGAGACAGGTCACTGAGAGTTTTCGAGAGAGGACCTCCCTTCGAGAACGGCAGCTCTATAAGCTCCTCAGCGAGGATTTCCTACCCGAGATCTGCAACATGATTGCCCAGAAGGTATGCAAAGGAAAAGTATTCCTCCCCTCTGTATTAGGTGTAAAGCTGCATTGTTTTAAGGATTATTCATTAGAGCTTTTAATACATTCCACTGTCTCCTGGATGTGGTATGACCTTTATCCTTTCTTCTCTGAAATATTATAATGGGACCTCATGTCACTCATGGGCCTTGACTGTGGACAACATAATTTAATTCTCTTTATCCAAGAAGTCCTAAACCCTCCACACCCATCCCCTACTTCATTACTTAGAGTGGCTTTTCACAATCAGGAAACATTCCCTGAACCCTCAAGTATGTCTCATATCACCCTCTTCATAACTCTCTCTATATGCTTTTTTTCCCATCATCATCTTATTGTCTGTCTCTTTTCCCCTAAGCAACAATCTCTAACAAGTATTTGTCTTTGTATGTCCAGTGCCAGCTCTTTTTCCTAGCTCCGTCTGAGCTGTATGCCCTCTTCTCCACTTCAGGGCAAGTTGTAGTTTCATAAACCATACAGCCTATGTTTTCATGTATATGCATCCTAATTTCTGACTTTTGCAAACATCTTTTCCCCTCTACTTCCCTACCCATTCAAATACTTCTCTCCCAAAAACTCCACTTAAAGTCATTATTTCCTTGAGCTGTCCATTGCTCCTAGTCTTAGGATTGTCCTCCCTAATATGTTAATTCATCGCTTACTTAATTCTATTGTGAATTTAAGCTTCTTTAGATTAAGGACTATGTCCTCCTCATCATTTTGACCCCCACAGCACCTAATGTAATGTCTTTCCGTGGTGGGTGCTCAGTAATAATTTACTTTGCTTGTTTCATTTCCATAATTCTAATACACGCTAATAGAAGACAGAAAAAATTTGACAGCCTGCCAATAAAATATGAAGAGAAAATATTTATAAATTACTAGGGGCCCAGTACACGAATTCATGCACCTTGAAAGGAACTGTGGGGCACGAGGTTGCAGCAGGCACAGGGGCGGGTCTCAGCCCATCCTCTGCATTCCCGCCGCCTTCACTTCCACACGCTGACAGCTCCAGCTCCACTTGCACCCGCTGACAGCGCAGAGCTATTGGGGCCAGCACCAACAGCAGGTGCAAGCAGCGGCTGCTGCCCCAATCACCCTTCAGGAGCAGGGGGAGGTGGAGAAGCCCTCAGGGGAGATCAGGACCGGAAGCCACTGACTGCACCAGTCTGCTTTCCCACCAGCAGTATACTACAGTTCCCTTTTCTTCACATCTTCAGCGATTTTTTAGTATATTTTTATTTAGTTGAGAGGGGAAAGGAGAGGGAGAGAGAGCTAGAAACATCAATGATGAGAGAGAGTCATTGATTGGCTGCCTCCTGCACACCCCCCACTGGGGATCAAGCCCACAATTCTGGGCATGTGCCCTTGATCAGAATCAAACCCTTTAGTCCCCATGCCACACTCTATCCACGGACCCAAACCAGCTAGGGCTCATTTGTTGATTTGTTAATGGTAGCCATTCTGACAGGTGTGAGGTGATAACCTCATTGTTGTAATTTGCATCTCTCTGATGATCAGTGACTTTGAGCATTTTTTCATATGTCTCTTGGTCATCTGTATGTCCACTTTGGAGAATGGTCTCTTTAGTCCTTTGCTCATTTTTTTATTGGATTGTTTGTCTTCCTTTTGTTAAGTTGCATGCGTTCCTTATATATTTTATATATTAACCCTTTATCCGATATATCATTGCCAAATATATTCTTCCATACCATGGGCTCCCTTTTCATTTTGTTGATGGTTTCTTTTGCTGTGCAAAAGCTTTTTATTTTGATGTTGTCCTATTTATTTTCTCCTTAGTTTTCTTTGCTTTAGGAGATGTATCTGTAAACATATTGCTACAAGAGATGTCTGAGAATTTGCTGCCTATAGTTTCTTCTAGGATTTCTATTGTTTCACAACTTACATTTAAATCTTTTGCCCTAACCGGTTTGGCTCAGTGGATAGAGCATCGGCCTGTGGACTCAAGGGTCCCAGGTTCGATTCTGGTCAAGGGCATGTACCTTGGTTGCGGGCACATCCCCAGTGGGGAGTGTGCAGGAGGCAGCTGATCGATGTTTCTCTCTCATCGATGTTTCTAACTCTCTATCCCTCTCCCTTCCTCTCTGTAAAAAATCAATAAAAAATATTAAAAAATAAATAAATAAATAAAAATAAATAAATCTTTTGTCCACTTTTAGTTTATTCTTGTGTATGGTATAAGTTGGTGGTCTAGTTGCTTTTTTTTTTTTTTTTGCATATATCTGTCCAAGTTCTCAACACCATTTATTGAAGAGACTGTCTTGACTCCTTTGTCAAATATTAATTGAGCATAATGAGTTCTCTTGTACTGTCCCATTGATCTATATGCCCATTCTTGTGCCAGGCAGTTTTGAGTATAGTGGCTTTGTAAGTATAACTTGACATCTGGTATTGGGATTCCTCAACATTGTTCTTTCTCAAGATAGCTGAGAATATTCAGGGCCTTCTTTGGTTCCATATAAATTTTGGAGTATTTGTTCTAGATCTGTGAAATACGTCTTTGGTATTATAATAGGAATTGCATTGAATCTGTAGATTGCTTTGTGTAGTATGGACATTTTAATGATATTAATTCTAACAGCCAATGAACACAGTATTTTCTTCCACTTGTTTTTGTCTTCCTCTATCTCTTTTTTCAACGTCCTGCAGTTTCCCAAGTACCAGCTTTTTACCTACTTGGTTAATTTTATTTGTAAGTTTCCTAATTTTTTCTGTTGCATTGGTAAATGGAATTGTTTATTTAGTTTCTCTTTCTGAGAATTCATTATTGGTATATAAAAATGCCATGGATTACTGGGGCTTAATTTGTATCCTGCTATGTTGCCAAATTCATTTATTAAATCTAGTCATTTTTTGATGGAGTCTTTAGGGTTTTCTATGTACAGAATCATGTCATCTGCGAATAATGAGAGCTTTACTTCCCCTTTTCCAGTTTGGATGCCTTTTATGTTTTCCTCTTGTCTGATCACTGTGTCTAGGACTTCCAGTACCATGTTGAATAAAAGTGATGAAAGCAGACATCCCTGTCTTGTTCCTATTCTTAAGGGAAAAGGTTTTAGTTTTTGCCCATTTAGTATGATGTTTGCTGTAGGTTTGTCATATGTTGCCTTTATTATGTTGAGATATGATCCCGCTATTCACATTTTTCAGAGAGTTTTTATCAAAACTGGTTGTTGGATTTTGTTGAATGCTTTTTCTGCATCTATTGATATGATCATGTGATTGTTGTCTTTCAGTCTGTTTATGTGATGTAGCACGATTATTGATTTTAGGGTATTGTACCAGCCTTACATCCCTGGAATAAATCCCACTTGGTCATGCTGTATGATCTTTTTAATATATTGCTGGATACGATTTGCTAATATTTTGAGGATTTTAGCATCTATGTTCATCAGGGATATTGGTCTGTAATCTTCTTTCTTTATAGTGTCTTTTGGCATTAGGATAATGCTGGCCTCATAAAAAGAGTTTGGAAGTGTTTCTGGACTTTTTGGAATTGTTTGAGGAGTATACATGTTAATTCTTTGAATGTTTGGTAAAACTCCTATGAGAAACCATCCAGACCAGAGCTTTCATTTGCTGGGAGTTTTTTATTATTATTATTATTATTATTATTATTATTATTATTATTATTATTATTCATGCATGGGAGGGTGTCCCTCAGCCCAGCCTGCACCCTCTCCAAACTGGAACTCCTCGGGAGATGTCCAACTGCCGGATCTCCCTCTCACAATCCGGGACTGCTGGCTCCTAACCACTCGTGGCCTGCCTGTCTGCCTGATTGCCCCTAACTGCTTCTGCCTGCCAGCCTGATCACCCCCAACTGCCCTCCCCTGCCGGCACAATTACCCCCAGCTGCCGTCCCCTGACGGCCCGATCGCCCACAACTGCCCTCCCCTGCTGGCCATCCTGAGACGACGTGAGGGTGCCACGCGAGGGCCACCTAGGCTTTTATTAGTATAGATTGCTTCTACTTCATCAATTGTTATTGGCCTATTCCTATATTTTTATTCTTCCCGATTGAGTTATGGAAGATTCTATTTTTTAGTAATTTGTCCACATTGTCCAACTTGTTGGCATGTTCACAGTATTTTCTGACAATTCTTTGTATTTCTCTGGGGTCAGTTTTTACTTCACTGCTTTCATTTCTGATTTTATTTATTTGGGTCCTCTTTGTTTCTTGATGGGTCTGGCTTATGGCAATTTTGTTTATATTTTCAAATAAAAGCTCTTGTTTTCATTCTTTTTTGTTTTGTTTTGTTTTTTGGGGTTTTTTTGTCTCTGTCACTTATTTCTGCTCTAATCTTTATTATTTCCTTCATTATACTTACTCTGGTCTTTTCTTGTTCTCTTTCTAATTCTTAAAATTGTAGGGTTAAATAATTTATTAATTTTTTTGTGTTTTTTAAGGTATGTCTGTAGTGCTATGAACTTCCTCTCAGAGTTGCTTTCACTTTGTCCCATAAATTTGGGGTTGTTGTATGTTCATTTTCATTTGTTTCCAGGAAGTTTTTTATGTCTTTCTTGATCTCATTGGTAACCTGTTCACTGTTTAATAACATGCTATTTAGCCTCCATGTGTTTGAATATTTGAGAATGTTTTTGCTGTTGTTGATTTCTAATTTAATTCCATTGTGATCTGAGAAGATGCTTGATATGATTTCAATCTTCTTGAACTTGGAGAGACTTCATTTGTGTCTTAACATGTGGTCTATCTTTGAGAATGACCCATGTTCACTTGATGTATATTCTGTAGCTTTAGGGTGAAATATCCTATAAATGTAATTTAAATCCATCATTTAGAGTCTCTGTTTTCCTGTTAATTTTTTGTCTGGAAGATCTATTCAGTGATGTCAGTGGGGTGTTAAGGTCCCCTACTATAACTGTATTGCTGTCAATGTCTTCCTTAAAGTCCTCTAGAATTTTTTTATTTTTATTTTTTTAGATATTTAGGTGCTC